TAAATATCCAAAATTTGATAAAAGACATGAAACTAAATAGCCAACAAACTCAACAAACTCCAAGTAGGAAAACTCAAAATAGATCCAGACTAAATCATATTAACATAAAATGGTCAAAACACAAACATAAAGGATGAATAATAAACGCAGAAGGAGAGAAGCAATTAGTCACATACATTGGGTCCTAAGAAGACAAAAAGCTAATTTCTCCTCAAATACCAGGGAGGCTACAAAGCATCAACATAAGGAAGTGGTAAAAGAAAAAACTTTTTACCCAAAAATTCAATACCCACCAAAATTATCCTTCAAAAAAAGGAGGGGAATTAAGATAGTCTCAGCAAAACAGAAGCTGAAGAGAGTTAACCACTAGAAGACCTGCCCCACAAGAAATGTTAAAGTGAATCCTTCAGGCTACAGAACACACTATACAGTAACTCAAAGCTATAAAAAGAAGTAAAGAACAACAGTAAAGACAATTACATAGGCAAACCTAAAAGCCAGTACTACTGTGTAAAGTAACTTGGGACAGTAACACCAAAACAGAAGAGGGATGGAGCTGTATAAATAAGTCTTTACACTACGAACACAAAGCTGGTATTAATTTAAACTAGATTACTGTAATCTTAAAATGTTAACTATAATTACCAAGGTAAACACAATAACTAAAAAATATACATAAAAGGAAATAAGAAGAAAGTCAAAATGATGCATAACACAAAGATCAATTAACAAACCCCCAAACCAGTAAGGGATAGAACAACCACACAGATTTTGAATAAGGAAATAGAGAACTTGATTAACACTACAGACCAAGTGAACCTAACAGACATATACAGAATAATCTACCCAAAAACAGCAGAATATGCTTTCTTTTCAAAGTATGCATGGAACATTTTTTAGGACAGACCACATTAGGCCACAAAATAAGTCATAAAAATTCAAGACTGAAATGATACAAATACCTTTTCTAACCACAAAGGAATGAAATTAGAAATCAGCACAAAGAAAACCGGAAATCCACAAATCGGTGAAAATTTAACATTCTTAAACAGCCAAAGGGTCAAGACAAAGAAAAAAAGGGAAATTAGAAAATACCTTGAGACATGGGGCACCTGAGCGACTCCGTGGGTTAAAGCCTCAGCCTTCGTCTCAGGTCATGATCCCAGGGTCTTGGGATGGAGCCCCGCATTGGGCTCTCTGCTCAGCAGGAAGCCTGCTTTCCGCCCTCCGCTTCGTCCCCCGCCCCTCTCCCCACCTGCCTCTCTGCCTACTAGTGATTTCTGTCAAATACATAAATAAAAATCTTAAAAAAAAATAAAGAAAATACCTTGATACAAATGAAAATGAAAACACAACAAACCAAAACTTGAGGGACACAGTGAAAGCAATGCTAACAGATAATTATACAGTTGTAAATACTTAGATTAAAAAAGAAAAAAGATCTTAAATCAATAACCTAATTTTACAATTCTAGAAATTAGAAAAGGAAAACATTAACCCAAAGCTAGAAGAAGCAAAGAGTAAAGATTAAAGCAGTGATAAATGGCATAGAGAACACAAAAACAATAGGAAAAAACCCAATGAAACAAAGGTTGGCTTTATGAAAAGATCAACAAAATCAACAAGCCCTCTGTCAGGAATTAATTAAGAAAAAAAAGAAGATTCAATTAAATCACAAATAAAAGGGGATGTTATAAACAAGGTCACGGAAGTAAAGAGAATTACAAAAAAATACTATGAATAACTGTACACCAAAAAATTGGATAACCAACAAGAAATGGATAAATTTCTAGGAACGTGCAACCTACAAAGACTGAATCATGAAGCAATAAAAAAAATATGAACAGACCTATAACTAGTAAGGAAACCGAAGCAGTAATCAAATCCCATTCTCCCAAAAAGGAAAGTCCAAGACCCAACTGCTTCACTGGAGAGTTCTACCAAGTATTTAAAGAATTAACACCAATTCTCTTGAAACTCTCCCCAAAAAATTGAAGAGGAGGAAACATTTCCAAGCTCATTCAATGGGGCCAGCATTACCCTGGTCTAACCAAAGTCAGACAAAGAAAAAAAAACTATAGACCAGTATCTTTGACGAATATTGATACCAAAAAATTCTGAACAACCTAAAAGCAAACTGATTTCAAATGCACACTGAAAGAATTATTACACCATGAGTAAGTGGGATTTTTTCACTGGAATGCAAAGATGACTGAACATATGAAAGTCAATCAGTATAATATACCACACATTAACAGAATGAACAAATACAACATAAATCATCTCAATTGATGCAAAAAAACACTTAACAAAATATGACACCATTTCATGATAAACAAAACTCTCAATAAACTAGAATAGAAGAATCTACCTCAACATAATGAAGTCTACTTACAAAAAACACAAGAGCTAAAATCATACTCAGTGGTGAAATACTGAAAGCTTTTCCTCTAACACAAAGAATAAGACAAGACCATCTGCTCTTGCTACTCCTATCAAACATATAGCACAGGAAGTCCTAGCGAGAGCAGTCAGTCAGGCAAGGAAAAAAAAAATTCAAATTAGAAAAAAAAAATTATCTCTTTTCATAGACAACATGACCTTGTGTAGAAAACCAAAAAAACCTGTTATAACTAATAAACAAATTCACCAATGTAGGATATAAAATTAACACACAAAAATCAGTTGTGTCTATACATTAACAATAAGCAGCCTAAAAAAATTAAGAATCTCATTTACAAAAGCATCAAAAAGAATAAAAAACTTAGGAATAAACTTAACCAAGGAGATGAAAGACTTGAGCACTGAAAACCACAGAAAAAAATGCTGAAAAATGTTAAAAAAAAAAAACACAAATGGAAAAATATTCAGTGTTCAAGTATTGGGAGAGTTAATATTAAGATGTCCATATTATCCAAAGGAATCAACAGATTCAACATAATCACTATTAAATTCCCAGTGGCTTTTTTTCTTTTTTTGCAGAAGTAGATAAATTCACCCTAAAATTCAAATATTAAGAGCTCCCGGGGCACATGGGTGGCTCAGTCTTTAAAAGCATCTGCCTTCAGCTCAGGTCATGATCCCGGGGTCCTGGGGTCGAGCCCCTCATAGGCTGCCCTGCTCAGTGGGGAGCCTGCTTCTCCCTCTCCCGTTCTGGTTCCCCCTGCTTATGTTCCCTCTCTCGCTGTCTCTCTCCCTGTCAAATAAATAAATAAACTCTTAAAAAAAAAAAAAATCAAGAGATCTCAAGGGAAAGCAATTTTGAAAAAGAACAACAAAGTTGCATGTCTCATATTTATTAATTTAAAAATAAATTTACAATGCTACAGTAATCAAAACACTCTGGTAATGGCATAGAGACAAACAGATCAAAGGAACAGAAGACAGACCCTGGAAATACACTCACAAAACAGTCAAATGATCTCTGTCAAGGATGCCGAGACCATTCAATGAAAAATGGACAGACTCTTCAACAAAGGGTGCTGGGAAAACCGGATAAACACATACAAAAGGTTGAAGTTTACACCATAAATAAAACTTAACTCACTATGAATCAAAGACCTAAACATAAGACCTAAAACTATAAAACTCCCAGGAGAAAACATAGAGGAAAAAGTTTTGTGACATCATCAAACTTGACAATAAGTTCTTAGATACAGAAAGCAGAGACAACAAAACAGAAATAGACAAATGGAAGTACATCAAACTTTAAAACTTCTGTGTATCAAAGCACACAATCAACTGAGTCAATAGGCAGGTGATCTACAGCATGGGAGAAAATATTACCAAACTGTAGATAAAAGTATTTAATGTCTAGAAAATATTAAAAAATTCTTACAAAACAAAACCCCCCCCAAATAACCCAATTAAAATTTGAGTTGAATAGATGTTTCTCTAAATATGATCTAAAAATGGCCAAGAAACATGAAAAAATGCCCTACATCATTAATCATCAGAGAAATGCAAATCGAAACCACGAGGTATCACTGCACATCCATTAGGATGGTTGTGATAACAGAAAACGACAAATGTTGGTTAAGGTGTGTGCATTGTTGGTGGGACTGTAAAGTGGTGAAAAAACAGTATGGACATTCCTGGAAAACTTAGAAATGGAACTATCATATGATCCAGCAATAACACTTTGAGGTATATATTTGAAAAAAATTTTAAAGAGTCTTGAAGAATATTTGCACACCCATGTTCATAACAACACTATTCACAATAGCCAAGAGATGAAGCAATCCAATGTCTACTGATGGATGAATCAATAAAGGAAATGTGGTATATGACACACTGAAATATTATACAGCCTTAAACAGGGAGGAAAAATCCTGTCACATGCTACCCAGTGGATGAACCTTAAGAACATTACACAGAATGAAACAAGTCAGTCCCCAAAAGATTAATATTGTATGATTCCATCTATATGAGTTATCTAAAGTAGTCAAATTCATGAAAACAGAAAGTAGAATGTGATCACCAACGGCTGAGGAAAGGGGTAAAAAGGGAATTTGCTGTTTAATGGGTACAGAGTCTCAGATTTGTAAGATGAAAAAGTTCTGGATATCTGTTTCATAACAGTGTGAATATACTTAATACTACTGAACTACACACTTATAAAATGATTAAGATGCACACAGCAGCACTATTCAAAATAGATTAAAGGTGTAAGCAACCCAAATGTCCATCCAAAGATGAACAGGTAGAGAATCTATAGCATAGCCATACAATAAAATATTATTCAGGCATAAAAAGAAGTACCAGGGTGCTTGAGTGGCTCAGTCGGTTAAGTGTCCGACTCTTGGTATTGGCTCAGGTCATGATCTCATGGGTCCTGAGATGGAGCCCTGGGAAGGGATCCCAGCTCAGCAAGCCATCTGAAGATTCTCTCCTTCTGCCTCTCCTCCCACCACTCACACATGCACTCTCTCTAAAACAAATAAATAAATCTTTAAAAAAAGAAAAAAAAGGGAAAGAACGAAGCACCTACATACTACAACATGGATGAACCTCGAAAATGTTATGCTGCATCTGGCTGGCTCAGTAGACAGAGTGTGCGGCTCTTGATCTCAGGGTTGTGAGTCCGAGCCCCATGTTGGAGTAGAGCTTACTTAAAAAATTAAAATCAGGGGCACCTGGGTGGCTTAGTGGGTTAAGCCTCTGCCTTTGGCTCAGATCATGATCTCAGGGTCCTAAGATTAAGCCCTGCATGGGGCTCTCTGCTCAGCAGGGAGCCTGCTTCTCCCTCTCTCTCCGCCTGCCTCTCTGACTACTTGTGATATCTCTCTCTGTGTGTCAAATAAATAAATAAAATCTTTTAAAAAAAATTAAAATTAAAAAAATTTATTATTGAGGCTTCTGGGTGGCTCAGTTGGTTAAGTAAGCATCTAACTTCCACTGAGGTCATGACCTCAGGGTCCTGGGTTTGAGCCCCACGTCAGGCTCTCCACTCTCCCTCTCCCTCTGCCCCTTAGCCTGCTCATGCTTGCTCACATGCTCTCTAATAAATAAATATTTAAAAACAAACAAAACGCTCCCAAAAGAACCAATATTATGGATAAGTGAAAGAAGCTAGACACAAGTGTTACATGCTGTATAATTCCTTTTATATGAAATATCCAGGACAGGTAAAGTCATAGAGATAAAAAGCAGATTAGTGGTTTCCAGGGACTGGCGGGGGGGGGGGGGGCGGATGAGGACTGACTGCTTAATGGGTTTCCTTGGGTATGATGAAATATAGTGGAACTAGTTAGAGGTGATAATTGCACAATACTGCAAATCTAAAAAGTCACTCAATTTTTTACTTTAAAATTAATAATATATTTTAGGTGAGTTCTATCTTGGAAAAAAATCAACTATATTTCCATATACTAACAATGAACATGCAGAATACGAAATTAAAATCACAATGCTACGTCCAAAAAAACCAAAATATGTGATAAACTGAGCCTCATGAAAATTTAGAACTTTAAAGATGCTGTTAAGAAGACAAAAACACAAAGTATAGACTGGGATGGGAGAAAGTACTTAGAAAAACCCTATCTAACAAAGGACGGGTAGCTACAATATGTAATTCTCAAAACAACAGTAAAAAATAATAATCCAACTAGACAATGAGCAAAAGACATGAACAGACATTTCACCTAAGATAAAAATGCACATAATCACTTCAAAGGATGTTGAGCATCATTAGTCATTAGGGAAATGTAAATGTAAAACACAATGAGAGCTCTCTCAAGTTTGCAACAGTATAGTTAAATGCACCAAGAAGGTCAGAATCATAGGTAAATACGGGACCCATTATGGTCCCTCACTCAGGAAAATGGTGAGGATTGAAATGGGTCAGTGTGCCAAATACATCTGCTCTCTCTGTGGCAAAACCAAGAGGAAAAGACAAGCTGTCAGGATCTGGTATTGTGGTTCCTACATGAAAAGAGCAGCCAGTGGTGCCTGGACCTACCATTACAACACCACTCCTGCTGTCACAGTGAAGTGCGCCATCAGAAGACTGAAGGAGTTGAAAGACCAGTAGAAGTTCCACCATTTGAAACACTGCTAGCCCATAATAAATGGGCTAATCCATTAACAAAACTACTTTGGCTTGTTGTTATATTTATTAATTGGATGTTCTGATTTGCATTGCATTAATTTTGCTTTCTCAAAAGACTTGGAAATGTAAAATCCTTTTTAAAAAAATGCACCAATAAATACCACTTTTCACCGATTAGACTGTCATGGATTAAAACATGAGTTAATAATACTTGGTGGGGGTGGAGAAAGATATTCTCAAACACTGCTAACAAATTTTTTTTTTTTTTTTTAGATTTCATTTATTTGACAGAGACACAGCGAGAGAGGGAACACAAGCAGGGAGAGTGTAAGAGGGAGAAGCAGGCTTCCTGCGGAGTGGAGAGCACAATGCGGGACTCGATCCCAGGATCCTGGGATCATGACCTGAGCAGAAGGCAGACGCCCAACGACTGAGCCACCCAGGCGCCCCTGCTAGCAAAAATGTTAAGTGATATAATCTCATTGCAATTTTGCAGCATCAGAAATTAAAGTGCACATATACACTGACCCAGCAATCCATTGCTACAAATTATCTTACATTCTCACACAATTCCAATAATGTAGTAAAGAATATTTATTGCAGCACTGCATATACAAGCAAAAAACCTTTAGATTTACCGAAGTGTCTCTATCAACAAGGAAACAATTATATTAAATGTAATCCATATATGGAAAAATGTCCAAGACATACTGGCAAATGGAAAGAGAAAGATGCAGAATACATATCAACTATTTCTGATAATTTACACGGAACACAGTGCTGAGTGAGAGAGTTTACTCATTCTAAACATCTATACACTATTTGCTCATACGTAAATAAGTGTATGTGACTTCCATTAAAAAAAATAAAATTTCAGGGGCGCCTGGGTGGCTCAGTGGGTTAAAGCCTCTGCCTTCAGCTCAGGTCATTATCTCAGGGTCCTGGGATCGAGCCTCAAGTCGGGCTCTCTGCTCAGCAGGGAGCCTGCTTCCCTTCCTCTCTCTCTGCCTGCCTCTCTGCCTAGTTGTGATCTCTGTCAAATGAATAAATAAAAAACCTTAAAAAAAATAAAATTTCAAAAATACTAAATGCTACCTGGCAATATATTTGAAAAAGGTCAAATGTGCACTGTGCAATCTCATCTAGAATGAAGAACAAAATTTTTTTTAATTTAAGTCTTATTCACATTGCAACAAAGGTCAGCACATAACTACATTGCTACTAAAGACAGTGAAGCACAGAGAACTTAATTTGAAAATGAAGGAAATTAGCTAATATAAGATAAGTATATATAAAGAACTTCAAATCCTTGGATTCAGGGACTCTGTAAAATGGAAAAAGCAGTGGCTGACCATATAAAATATTGAAGCACAGAATGAAGACGAAGAGTCTGAAACTGAGGTATACCTATCTGTGAAGAGAAACTAGCCTAAAATCTTTCAAATACACATAAGTCAAACAACCTGAAGGTTATATTTCTCTGAATACTCAAATTTTATCAACAAGAAAACTAAACATACTTCACATCAATGATGAAATAAAACAAATAACTGAAGTTCTAACATTTGATAAGAATCTATGTCTAAGAAAATCCTTGTAGGGATCTGAAGAAACAGCATGAGATGGGGTCAATGTCCAACTCTGTATTCAACCTTTATGGCAGAAGCTGTAGGGAGGAAAAGCAACAAATTGATCCCAGTGGGGAAGAACTTCTCCTTGCTTTGGACTTGCTAGAAGGCATAAAAATCCCCTAGGTGACTACAATGGCCAACCCAACAAGCCTAATTTCAAGAAAAAAAACTAGTGTAAAGTACTTTATAATATTTTAAAAGTTTCTTAAGTAAGCATATTATTTATATATTACAGATCTACAATGATAAAAACAAATTTTTTAAACTTCATCAAACAGCAAGCTTCCTAAGCTATAAAAATAAATGTTATCACAATTCCAGATTATGATTCAATTTCCTTCTCTACTCCCAATTTCTTTTTTACCTTTAGGAAAATGAGAAGTTTTCTTTATAGATGTGACCAGTCTTCCTAGCCTTCTACTCATATTAATCTAATACATCCTTTAAAATCTTTAAAGAAATAACTAGCACAAACTCACAAAAAGAATACCGTTAGTAGCAAGCACTCCAATTTCTATGACATGGGTTAATGCCTTCATTTGAAAAGAGTAATCAAAATCAACACAGTTTTCCTTAAGGTCTCAACTAAGAACATTACTCGCCATTTTTTTAAACTGGATTGAAAGACGACTTGGGGGATATTTTAGGGCATTCCAAAATACCTACAATGCTGTTTCAGTATTGTCCCCATTGGCTCCTTCCTACAGCCCAACAGCAACTGTGCCAATGTCCTCATCCCATTCCAGCCAGTATTCTGAATCCCTAGATGACTGAGAGAGAATTATGCTCATTGTTCCATGTTTTACAAAATTCACTAAGTACACACAGTACTCTGGCATTGTGCTACTAAGGTAAGTACAACATTGATGGTGTCTACCTTCAAGGGGCTCACAGTCCAGTAAAGAAAACACACTACTGCAGTATGGCCAGGTCTGGCCCAAAGGATAAGAGAAGATTGCAGTATGGCCCAAAGGAAAAGAGATATTTCAGGAGATATTTCAGGAGATAAGCAGATGAGCAGGAGGAAGGACAATGATGGCTGGGGGAGGTGAGAGGCTGGGGAAGAGTGACAACATATAATTAGGACTAAAACTAAACATAAGAAACATCAGACTTAGTTTATTCAGATAATTCTAGGCATTCTGGAATAGCTGCAGTGAGACCATTGTATGCCAAGTCATGGAGCTTACATTTTATTGTGCAGGTGATACGGGAACAGTAAAGAGGACAACTAGAGGAAGGAAAATAGTGTAGAATGCTGGAAAGTGAGGTCAGAGAATAGAAGAATCCAATAAACAAAATTACAGAGAGACTACATAAAAAATTTATAGCACGGTCATACAATGGAATAGTACTCAGTAATAAAAAATAATGAACTACTGATATTCATACAACTAGATGTATGTTGATTGAAAAAAGCCACATTTAAACTAATGCTATTACATAATTCTATATACATAAAATTCAAGAACAGGCAAAACTAAGCTATGCTGATAAAATTCAGAAATTTTACCTCAGGAGGAGAAGGCTATTGGACTGGAAAGGGAAGAGTATGAGGAACTTTCTGAGCAATGAAAATGTTCTACGTCTTCATCTCTATGGTAGTTACATGTGTGAACATATATGTATGTTTTACATATGTTTTACATAAGTAAAAACCTCATTCAGCTCTATACTTTAAATTTTACCATACACAAATTACAACTTAATTTATATAAAAATGTAAGTTATACATTTGCATTAAGTTCTATGCAAAAAATGCATAATTGTGGTAGAACAGGGTCAGAATATGTTAAACCAGTGTCATCCCTTAAGCAATATCTGACATAAGAAATCAGAATAAAGGTTCTAAAACACTGTATATTCAATTAACAAACAAAATCCCTATAATACCTTAAGTACAAAACTCTAGCTTCTTTTTCCCTACAAGAAGATATATAGGCAAGTGTTCCTTATAATAGATGCTGTGGAGATAGTGCACTCCTCCTAAAGAAAAGAAATAGCTCACTATAAACCAAAAAAGTAAAAATTTTCTACACAGGAGTACCTACCTTCAAAAGTACTATAAAGATTAACAAGGCATGAGAAGCAGTTAACACAACATACAGCACAATCACTACAATTACTATTATATAATAGCAATAAAACGGAAACTCTCCTTCAAATTATGCCTAAACCACTTACTAAGAACACACTGTTTAACTGCATATCACTCAACTACAGCACTTCTCATACTAGATTTTTAATTTTCCTTTTTTTAACTTTGAGATCAGCAAGTTTCCAACAGCTTAAATGTCTAGTTACATTAGAGAAAGACCAAGTTAACTACAATTTAAGTATTCCCTTTTAATCCGTTTATATCCTGAAACCATGTTCATTTGCCAAAAGACAGTAAGTCTTTTTAACATCTGAACAGTTTCTATTATTAAAAAGCATTCTTTCAGAGCGCCTGGGTGGCTCAGTTGGTTAAGTAACTGCCTTTGGCTCAGGTCATGATCCTAGAGTCCCAGGATCAGGTCCTACATCAGGCTCCCTGCTTGGTGGGGAGTTTGCTTCTCCCACTGACCTCTTCCCTCTCACACTCCGTCTCATTCTCTCTCTCTCTCTCAAATAAATAAATAAAACCTAAAAGACACACACATACACACACACACACACACACCAAAAAACATTCTTTCACATATCAGACCAAAAAGTACATGATCACAATTCAATTTCCTGAAAGTCAACAGTCTTAAAAAAAGAAGGCAAATCAGAATGCTAAATTAGAAAATTCATTTAATGACTTTGACCAATTCAATGACCAACAGAGATACTCTTTGAAACAATCATTTATATTCTAAACATTATATTAATATAAAGAAGTCACGATTTGGCAAATTTAATCAATTTATGGAAGTACTCCATTAATCAAAATAAGTAAAATTCACAAAAGCAAAAACTACTCGAGCACTATAATCTACTGAGAACATTGAAGCATGCAGTAAATCTCTTACTCAACTGTTTTCTGAATAGCTAAACCGAACACCAGCTCAATTTTCTCACATGTTTAATAGTCACATACTTAAATTCAACATAAAGGAAAACTAAGAGCACAATTTGATGACTATTGTTACTTCCACCAAATCAACTCAAGCAAGTACCTCAAAGTCAATTCTCTGTATTTCAAAATTTTATTGAAAAACTCATTAAATCTCAACTTGAAGGCAGAGTTTTAAAACATAACTTTTTCTGTTATTCCTACTTTGATATATAACATTTAACAAAGTAGTATTCTACTTACCTAGATTTTGTCTTATTAACATCTCGTTGCAAAAACAATCTCATTCGAAATTAACTCAAACCTGAAAG